TGTCCCACTATCATGCTCAGTCCCCACCAGGATTTCAGCACTTCCTCTTTGTTACGTTCCCCTTGATCCTGCCCTTAATGAATTATAAATTTTCATATCTTACACAGTCCGCTGTCTTCCTTCATCCGTTTGTTGTGTTATATGTCAATTTTTGCAATCAGTTCTCCCTTTCTCCCCCCACTTTTCCCCTCATGGTATTGCTACTCCGATTACTGTGCCTGAGGGGCTTATCTGTCCTGGATTCTATGTGTTGAAGGCTCTTATCTGTACCAGAGTACGTGCTCCAGTCTAGCCAGAATTGTCAGGTAGAACTGGGGACATTAAAGACGTAGAGGAATGTTGTATATTTCATTGGTGTTGTACTGACTGGTCATTCCTTCCTTGTGACCCTTCTGTGAGGGGATGTCCAATTGTCTACAGATGGCCTTTGCGTCTCCACCTTGTTCACAATATGATTATTTTGGGTCTTCTGATGCCTGATACCTGATCCTGTTGACACCTCATGATCACACAGGCAGGTGTGCTTCTTCCATGTAGGCTTGTTGCTTCTGTTAGATAGCCAGTTGTTTATCAAGTCTTTAAGACCCAAGATGCTGTATTTTTTTTTTTTTGATGCTGTATCTTTTAATAACCAGGCACCATCAGCTTTCTTCACCACATTTACTTATGCACCCATTTTGTCTTCAGCAATCGTGTTGGGAAGGTGAGCATCACAGAATGGGTTATTAGAACAAAGTGTTCTTGCGTTGAGGAAGTACTTGAGGCCCAATGTCCATCCACTACCTTAATACTTAACATATATAAATCTATGTACATTGACCAGTCCCTATCACTGTATATATATTTACATGTGCCTGTATTTATACCTCTATAGTTGTCCTTTGCCTCATAGTTCTTTTCCTCTATTTCTCAAGACATTTAAATGGCTAAAAGACACACAAAAAGATGCTCAACATCATTAGGGACCAGGGAAATGCAAATAAATCAAAACCACAATTAGGTACCATTTCACTTCTAGTAGACTGACCGAGATTATTAAAAAATATGAAAATGAAGTGTTGGAGGGAATGTGGAAAAATTGTGGAAAAGACTAGTGGTTCTTCAAAAAAACTAGAGGATGAGCTGTCACAGATCCATCAATTCCATTCCTAGGTATATACTCTGGGGACTTAAGTCTTAACAGATAACGTGCAAGGAAACTCAAAAAGTATTGCTATAAAACCAGAAACTTTATTAAACAAAAATATCAAAATGTGACAGTATTATTTCTCAGGATGGCCTCCATCTTCGTGTATATAATTCTGAATATAGATTCCGTTTCTCTAAACTTTCATATCGACATCACATCAAAACAACCATTTAGTATCCTTGAGGGGCTGAAATCCTGTTCCTTTTAAATAATGTTGAGTTTGGGGAACAAAAAACTCCAAAGGGACAAGATCAGGCCTGTAGGAGAGAAGGGAAAGTTTCAGTAGGACAGTCCTAGTCTTGTCACCCTCAAAGGATGAGCAAGTGCATTGTGATAGAAACTTCCTTGGAACATCCTTGGCCTGTTTTGTTTTCCTAAAATTTCTCCAATCCCCAGTGATTGCCTTCTATCCTTTAAGAAAAATCTATCAAGATTACCGCTTTTGAATTCCACTAAACAATTGCCATAACCTTCTGTTACTGGATTTAACTGGCTTCAGTTGCCCTCAGAATTCATTGTTGTGGTTGGTCCTTTCTTTGAAAGGTACCTTAATTAGATTAAGACAATTCTATTAGAGCAGAATTTGCCTACAGTCATCTACTGATTGCATAGATGTTTGAACACATTTTGTTGCAATTATTAAGTCTGAGAATATATAAACGGGAACCGTAGCAGCAGTACTTTTTGCCTTGCTTACTATCTGTCTGTATAACTGTCTACCATGCTATCTAATGTGGCAGCTACAATGCACAGGTAACTATAAAGCTAAAAATTGTCTCTCCCTTGCCATAGCAACATTCAAGTGCTCAAGAGCCATGTGTGGCTAGTGACTATGTGTTAGCTGATAAAGAATATTCCGATCTTTGGGAAAGGTTCTATCGGATGGCACTGGCCTCAGGCACGTAGGGGCACATATTTTTATTCTTGTCGAGCAATGACTAGCACTTCAAAGTAAAAATCACCTAGTTTGAATTACTTCACTAGTTTGCTTATATATCATCAAAATTAGGGTTTCACACCTTTCACTCCTCTCAACACAAAAATCACATCAGTTTCATGGTAGAATTCCACATAAATTATTTAATACTAGAGAATCACATCAAGCATAGATGGGCCACATCACATGTCAGGGATATTGATTTATACATGACCATATATTGGTTATATCTTTGCCACACCTGATAAATGGAAATCAAATGTTATGATTGGGATTTTATGACTTTTTGGTATTGCTGAGTCTAGAGTCCCCACAATTTGTTCACAATTTACTCCTGTTAAGATGACTCATTATCAGAGGTAGTATTTCAAAACTCTTTTTCTTTTCTCTATCAATTAATATTGAGAATGAAAAACATGCTATGGAGGAAAAGTTTAGTGTTTCTTTATTCTGGTGAGGCAAATAGGATTTTAATGTTTTAACCATTGTGTAAGCTATAAGAGTTCTGGCTTTCAAGACAATGCCAAGTCTTTACTTAAAACATAACTCATTCTTTATCCCCATTTCTAATTCTTCTCCAGGTTGAGCTTTCTAAATATTCTCCATCATAACAACTTAAAGAGCTATTATCATCAAATGCTAATTCGAAAGAACAAGGCAAAGAATTAATGATTGTTTAAAAACTGGTTACTGAGCTAAATTTTATTTTACTGATCACACTTAATAAAGCATTTCTAAGGTTGTCTCCTGTAGGTATCTCCAAACTGGTATTAGGACTCAGGTCTCTACAGTAACTGAGCATGAATCCCTTCCTATAGGTCTCATGCTTTTAGCCTGGATATAGAAGTCTTTGAGAAGCTACAAAGTAAACAATCAAAAGCACTAAAGCCAACTTCTGTGTAACATGACATGAAATAATATAACATCTTCTATATGTCCAGAGCTTCAAGCAAGAAGGGTAACAAAAACCAAGGAAAAGTATGATTTCTAAGTTGTTTATATGTAGTCTAGACATCTTACAGTATGATTTTTAAAAAATAGGCAAGGGAAAAACAAAATGAAGAATGGCACCTCCCAAAATAAAAGTGCGAATGGTAGTGCATTATTTTGTTTTAATTTTAGTTAAATGATTAGACATTAAATAAGAATGTAGGGAGAAAATCCAGCAAATCAATTTAAGTGAGCCACAGAGTGAAACTTAGGAGACTTTATGACACATACAAAAAAGTGAAGGGAAGATTTCAGGATAAAAAAACACACAAAAAACCCCAAAAAAGTGAAGGGTGGGAAGACGCCTCTAGAGTGGAGACCCAAAGCCCATCTGTAGACAACTGGACACCTCCCCCCCTTTTTTTAATCGTTTTATTAGGGGCTCACACAACTCTTATCACAATGCATACATACATCAATTGTGTAAAGCACATTTGTACACTCATTGCCCTCATCATTCTCAAAATACTTCCTCTCCACTTAAGCCCCTGGCACTAGGTCCTCATTTTTTCCCTCCCTCCCTGGAGATCCCCTTACAGAAGGATCACAAGGAAGAAATGAGCCATTCAGGGTGCAGTATAGCACCGATGAAACACACAACTTTCCTCTAGTTCCCTTCCCCCCACTATCATGACCTCAATTCTGCCTTACAAATCTGATTAGACCAGAACATGTACACTGCTATAAATAAGAGCCTGCAACACAGGGAATCCAGAACAGAGAAACCTCTTAGGACCAATAATGAGAATAGAGCTATCAGGAGGGTAAGGGGAACGTGCGGGGAGAAAAGGAGTATCAATCACAAAGATCAACATATAACCTCCTCCCAGGGGGACGAACAACAGAAAAGTGGGTGAAGGGAGACAGCGGACAATATATGATATATAAAAATAATAATTTATAATTTATCAAGGGTTCATGAGGGAGGGAGGGAAAAAATGAGGAGCTGATATCAAGGATTCAAGTAGAAAGAAAATGCTTTGAAAATTATGATGGCAGCATATGTACAAATGTGCTTGACACAATGGATGGATGGATGGATTGTGATAAGAGCTGTAGAGCCCCCAATAAAAGTACTTAATAATAAAAAGAACAGTGAAATGATCTTTTAAGAAGAAGAAATGATAATATTTATGCATTGAAAACATATCCTTTGTAAGAGTTACCATTTGGGTTTGAGGTGTATGGCATAATCCTCTGAAAGAAAGGAGCTAATAATGTGTGGAAATTAGCATTTAGAGCTGAAGACATCGCCAAAGTTGTTCTTTATAAATTGGTATGTTCACTTAACTCGAAAGCTTCAAAAGATAAGGTTCTCCAGAGCTTCAAAGTATTTTATTGGCTGAAGAGAGAATGTTTTTCACTATTAACAGTATCTGTTTCACATTCTATTGTGGTTATTCAACCAGTAGAAATTCAGTCTTTAGGAATTTTGTCTTCATAAATAAAAAGATACTTTTTCATACTAGCAAATCTGCATCCGTTATTGCGAAGTTTGTTTTCAAGGGACTTTGATGCTCCATTATGAATAAAATTGCTCACTAATTTCATTTGTAAAATGTCAATAAAATTTATGGCTCTTCTAAAATTCAAGCCACTCTGTCATATAAATACAGTTAGATGGTGAAATCTCACCGCCTTCATGGCAGTCTTCAAAAACCTTTAAAAAATAAAAGAAAAACAAAACACATTAAGATCAAACTGAAGCTTTAAAATTACTACATTATAAGTTAGTCTTACTTCTGTTAACAAGCTATCTTAACACCCAACTGTTTACTTAAAAAAAATTAAAAACAAAAATTTCAAACTAAATGGGACTAGGGCTGTATTTAAGAGAGTAATAGGACTGCTTGGTGATCATAAGGTTAACAAGAGGCCTTTTACTGTGACATTAAGACAGCCATGGTCCAACTGGACATCCCCTTACAGAAGGGTCACGGGGAGGAGACGAGCCAGTCAGGGTGCAGTGTAGCAACAATGAGACATACAACTTTCCTCTAGTTCCTAAATGCTTCCTCCCTCCCCACTATCATGATCCCAATTCTACCTTATATATCTGGCTAGACCAGAGGATGCACACTGGTACAGATAGTAACTGGAAACACATAGAATCAAGGACAGATGAACCCTTCAGGATCAGTGGTGAGAGTGGCCAACACTGGGAGGGTGGAGCGAAGGTTGGGTAGAAAGGGGGAACCAATTACAAGGATCTACATATAACCCCCTCCCTGGGGGATGGACAACAGGAAAGTGGGTGAAGGGAGACATCGGATAGTCTAAGACATGACAGAATAATAATTTATAAATTATCAAGGGTTCATGAGGGAGGGGAGGATGGGGAGGGAGGGGAAAAAAGTGAGGAGCTGATACCAAGGGCTCAAGTAGAAAGCAAATGTTTTGAGAATGATGATGGCAACAAATGTACAAATGTGCCTGACACAATGGATGGATGGATGGATGGATTGTGATAAGAGTTGTACGAGCCCCCAATAAAATGATTAAAAACAAAAAAAGATAGCCATGGTCAGCAGCTGCTCAATAAGGGAAAGGCTATCAGCAGGTAATACTTCATATCTAGCTATTCTTCTGAGTGCTAACCGAATTCCCAATATGTAGCCTCCCCTCCCCCCCTTTTAAAGTGAAAATACAGACTAGCAGTTCAAGGATATAAATGCCATGAAGGCTGGGGCAGCCTCTTGGTCACTTGGTTATCTTCAATGCCCACAGCACATGGAGAGGTATCCCTAATCCTTGGTTCCTTCACTCTTTAGGATGTTCCCATCACTGGTTCTTAGAGAAATAGGGAAAAATTAAATGAAAATTCCTATAAAAATCATCTAGACTATTCTTGGCCCACAGAAGGTATTTAATAAATCTCATCCCTTCCTGCTTGGTTGAAATAATTCATTCTCATAAAAAAACTGTCCATATTAGAGGCAAGAATAAAAGATGAAATTTGTTCCTTACTTTGAGGGTGATTCAGAGAAAGACTCTAAGGTAATGATTTGGTCAGTAAAGGTCAGTTCATTATGGTCATGTAGATGTTTGAACAGATCTTGGTTAACCTTAAGAGTGTGAAAAAAAACCCTGGGTGTGCTTGCTTTATTATGTTGTATTTGCACTTGAAGCTGTGAAAACACTTTAACTTACTGGGCAGAGTCCACAGGGGGCCCGGACCAAACCTGTCGGTGGTATGATTGGGCTCACAGCCCTATACAGTTTCATATGTCCATCTATACTCCCAACTGTGCCTTCTTTTGCAGCAATGATAGTCATCTCCACTTTCCCATCATAAATGAGTGTGTTCAAGATGGTTTCAATGTCCTCCATGGACAACTCTACCTGAAAAAGCAGCACATTAGAACGGACACAAAACGGACAAGGAGCCATGCTTTGGATGGTGCTATAAATACACAATAAAGGGTGAAATGGGGGAGCATTATGCAAGAAAAGAATAATCTAACTAAAGCACAATGAAGTTGAACAATGGTCAAGTTCACACAGAGGACTGAGACGCTAAAGGACAGAACTCTAACTTCATGCTATTTGAAAGACTGATCTGGCTGTTGTTGTAGTTGAGACACCTAACAACTGACCGACAGGTGGTGGAGTTACAAGCTCTAGGGCCCAGGAAACGCAAACCACTGCTCCAAGTGGCCACTACAACTTCTTTGCTGGTCATGAAAAGCATCCAGCACAGGATCCTTATGTAGAAGGGTCCTCAAAATAATTTGCTAATGACATCACTTTCATCTAATAAGTAGTAAAATATCAATAAATCACAATGGATGCAACAAATATTTTACACCTATGTTGAAATGTTCCCGAGGAAGTCAAGAACATGACAGATAAGACAAATAGCTAAATGTACTGCCAGATTGCCATTCTGCTGTTTTTAAGTCTCAAACTCAGCAACAGTCCAGACATTCTAAGCTTTTGACAAATGTATTTTCAAAACATGGGTTTGTAGAATGTTCACAGGTATTGCTTAGAAAGAGGGTCTGGGGACACACTGTAAATTATATTCCCATGATAAAGAGTATATTAAAAAGAAAAAGAAAATCATTTTCTGAGCTAACTACCGACCTTACTGATCCCCAATTCACAGATATATTTCCACACTTCGTGTGATGATGCAAATGAACTATTTCTTTGTATCATGGGATTCTGCTTGCTTTCTCGCGCAGCTTCTGCCTGTAAGGGTAGAAGCACAAGAAATGTCAACAAGAGTATTGGTGCTTACTGATTACAATGTATGCAGAGTCCAACCACCGGCAGAACATCTTTTGTTTATTGAAATCACCAATTTCAGCATTTTTACTTTTTATAAAATATGATATCTAAGATGAAATACTATTTATGAAGAAATTTTTAAAAATGCAGTGATGTTTTCTCTCTCACCTTGCTTTGTAGGAATTTAAAACACTGTTGGTTAAGTACTTCTACAAATTCTGATTCAAAATCCTGGTCGCTGTACCAGGCTCCACCTGTCACAGACCGGTCTGGCTGAAGGTTATAAAGCATATACACCTTCTTCTTTGAAGCCTAATAGAGAATATGCAATGTTTACATGCCAGAAGACAACAGTTTTCAAAAATCATTACATTTTTTTAAGAGTTTCAAATAAATAGAAATATTGTAAAGATAGCACAGCATTCCTATATATCCCACATCCAATTGCTGTTATTCTTAGTATCATATACTAAATGTGGCACAATAATTATTATAAGATTTATATATTAATACACTATTAACTACTTCCATGCTTTATTCAAATTCTCTCAGGTTTTCCCCCCTAATATTGTTGTTCTGTTCTAGGATCCCTTCCAGGGTAGCACATTACAAGTATTAATGCAGATTCCACTCTCTGTAGGCCCCTCTTGGCCATGACCTTTTCTCAGATTTTGTATGGAATGACCTTTTCAATTTTGAGAATTACTGGTCAAGTATTTTCTAGAACATCCTTCAATTGGGATTTGTTTGATATGATTAAACGGGTTCCAAAAGTTCTTGAATATTTTAGAAAAACATCACCAGATTAGGTGATTTGCAAATATCTTCTAGTATGTACTTTGTCTTTTTATTCTCTTAGCAGTATCTTTTGTAGAGCAGAAGTTTTAAATTTTAATAAAGTCCAACTTAAATTTTTTTCTTTCAGATTGTACTTTTAATATTGAAAAACTAATCATCAAATTCCAGATTACATCTTGTTTGCTTAAAGAAGTTTTACAGTTTTGCATTTTGTATTGAGATCTAATTAAGATTATTTTAACCCTTAAAAGGACGTGCAAGTCTGTCTACTGGTAAATGGATAAATGAAATGTGATTTAACTATGAAATGAAATTTTATTTTGTAATAAAAAGGAGTGGGAGAGGAAATATTTTGAGAATGACGAGGGCAATGAACGTACAAATGTGCTTTACACAATTGATGTGTGTATGGATTGTGATAAAGCTGTTATGAGCCCCTAATAAAACGATTTTTTAAATAAATAAGTTAATTAAAAAAATAATAAAAATGAGTGAAAGACCAATACTTCATTAACTAGGGCCTAGAACATAGTGACGATGATTACACAATTCTGTGATAAACCCCAAACCACTGAATTGTACACTTTAAGAGGATAAATTTTATGGTATATAAATTATATCTCAACAAAGCTCGATTGTTAAAAAAGACATATAAGGAAAACTGGCAAAATTAAGTACAAGGATAATTGGAAAATCAAGGTAAGAGATGGGCTTACGGGGGTTCTTAACATTATTTTCTCTACTTTTGTGTATGTTTGAAATTTTCCATTAAAAAATGTAGACGGGAAATAGTATTTTAAATTAGTAAAGTGGAATAAAATGAATATATTTAATAAATAAAATCATTGATAAAACATTGTATTTCCAGATGCTGAAATCTGTAACCCAGCAGACAAGTATAGCACAGAAAGGTCAGCAGGAGATATCAAGAAGGAAGCCACCTGCAGATCAGGGAGCACCTGAAGAGCACGCTGGGATGTGGTGGGAGAGGAGACGTATCAATGCACTGGAACAGACATCCAGCAGGGCTGGGATTGTTCACAGATTTGTTGACCGATTTTAGTCCAGGCACCTAGAATAATGCCTGGCGTATAACAAATGCTCAATAACTATTTATTGAATAACTTTAAAATGTGAGATGGAATTATCTTACATTGCACAGGAAAAATGTTCCTGATTCCAAGTCACCCACTATTTTCTATTTTTATAGTGGATACATAGATTTTTATTTTTTGCGCGGAGCACTTAATTTATCAGTAGACAGTGACAAGTGTTACGTAGCATCTCAAATCCAATCCAATATAAATGAAAATTTAAAAGATCTATTTTGACTAGTTATTTTCAATCATAACATAACATAAAACCCAGCCTGATACAGTTGAGCAAGAATCATAAGTGTGTGTTTGGGGATAAAAGAGAAAACTACTCACAGCTACAGATTTAACAGCTTTAATAAGCTTTTTGCTTTCTAAATTCTTTAGAATTTTGTTGATTTCTGTTAGTGGCAAGTTACTTTTATATCGGATATCTCTGCTCCATATTCCTATAAAAAAGGAAAGTATGTTAAACACCATAGGATATTTTTTTATATTCTCAAAGATCTTATCTCAAAGTAGCAAAATAAAGCTATGGATAAATTCTTAAAGAAAAAATTTTTATGTACATACATTCTAGGAAAGATTAAGTGATTTTGAGGTAAAACACAAAAAGCAACAAATATGCAAAATAGTAAGTACATATTTTCTAACTTAAAATTTCTTGAAATTAAAAAAATTTCTTGAAACAGCTTATTTTCTAAAAACATGTTTAAAAAAGATACTTTGAAAATAGAAAAAGGTTTTCAATGCTATTTTAAAATATTTATTTTAATTGGCATATAATTCACATATCATACAACTTAATAGTTCAATCATATTAAGAAGAGTTTTACAGTTATCACAACAATTTCAGACTATATTCTTCTTTCTCATACTCATGGTTGTTAGTTCCTCATTGTCCCCCACCTCTCTGGCCATGTCTCCAGGTAATTGTTAATCCAATTACTGACTCTCTAGATTTATCTATTCTTAATTTCATGTATAAAAATCATACAATACCCCTAATAAAATGTTAAAAAAAAAATGCCAGGGGCTTAAGTGGAGACGAAATGTTTTGTGAATGATGAGGGCAATGAATGTACATATGTGCTTTACACAATTGATGTATATATGGATTGTATTAAGAGTTGTGTGAGCCCCTAATAAAACGATTAAAAAAAACAAAAAAACAAATAGATATATACAAATTAAGGGTTCCTGGTGCTTAAGCAGGAGCTCTGTTGGTGCAGTTTTTACATGTTGGATTTCTAACCAAAAAAAAAAAAAAAGAATTGTACGAGCCCCCAATAAAATGATTTTTTTAAAAAAATCATACAATACCCTCTCCCACCCCCAGAAGAAAGCACTTCAGAGGACAGCACTGAAGCTTCAGCTTGGGGAGAGGGGCACGTCTCATTAGAGCACACAGGAGAAACGAAAAGGGAAGGAGAGAGAGTGGAACACATCCTGGCCACCAAGACCTCAGGACAACATTCCTGCTCAGAGCAGCCAATGCACAGAGAGGACCATAGGGCCAGCCCCACCACAAGACACAATGTACTCAATGAACGATAGCACTACAGGTGACAACACTGGACAGTGCGGGAATTGTGCCCAATCTGACCCCATCACACTGGGGCAAAACACTAAGGGCATGCAACAGAGCGAGCAGCAAAGGGAACAAAGTGATATAATCCCTGGGGAATACCAAAAATAGACTTAGGGGCCAGAGTGTGGCACCCCATCAGACTGGCCTGGAAAACACTCCTAAAGGTCCAAAAACAGACCTGGAACTATTTATAGGCTTTTGCTTTTTTGTTGTTGTTGAAATTTTGTTTTTGTTTGTTGTTCTTGGTTTTATCTTCCTTTGTTATTTTGTTTGGCTTTTCCTGGTTTTTTTTGCACTTATTAATGTCTCTGCATAACTATCTAGATAGGATAGGCAGGATAAACAATTCAGAGATGAAAACAATGGGACCAATGGTTCCAGGGGTACATGGAAGAAGGGGAGGTAGGAGAAAGGAAGGAGGGGGTCAATGAACCCAGGGACAAGGGAACAACAAGTGAACTAAAATCAATGGAGAGAAGGGTGTAGGATACCTAGTGGGGCTTAATCAAGGGCAATTTAACAGTGAAACTAAACTCAAATAAAAGCAGAACATGATAGTGGGACAAGAGGAAAAGTAAAAGGACATAGAGGAAAGAACTAGGAGGCAAAGGACATTTATAGAGGTCTAAATACAGGCATGGACATATGTAAATTTATTTATATATAACGATAGGGAAATAGATCTACGTACGGATTATCTATATATTAAGAATTAAGGTACCAGATGGACATTGGGCCTCGACTCAAGTAATCCCTCAACACAAGAACACTTTGTTCTAATAATCCAGCTTTCTGTGATGCTCACCTTCCTGACACGATCACTGAAGACAAAATGGGTGCATAAGCAAATGCAGTGAAGAAAGCTGATGATGCCCGGCTATCAAAAGATATAGCATCTAGGCCCTAGGGTCTTAAAGGCTTGAAGATAAAGAAGCGTCCATCTAGCTGAGAAGCAACAAAGCCCACATGGAAGAAGCACACCAGCCTGTGCTTGATAGGATCAGGTATCAGGCATCTAAGACCAGAACAAAATTATACCAATGTGAGTGTGGGTGTGGAGACCCAAAGCCCATCTGTAGACAACTGGACATCCCCTGACAGAAGGGCCACAAGGAAGAGACGAATCAGTCAGGGTGCAGTATAGGCACCAATGAAACATACAACTATCCTCTAGTATTTTAATGCCGCCCCCCCTCCTGACCTCAATTTTAACTTACAAATTGGACTAGACCAGAACATGTACAGTGCTACAGATAACAGCCCTCAACACAGGGAATCCAGAATAGATAAATCCCTCAGGACCAACAATGAGAATAAAGATACCAGGAGGATTAGGGGAAGATGGGAGGAGAAAGGGAATTTATCACAAGGATCAACAGTCTGGATGTACTTACATAACCTCTACATCAGCTTCTAGAAAATTTTCAGGGAGGAAAAAAAAAATTGACACTGGCCAGTACAGTCTGGATATTTAGGAAAGGGGCTGGGGAGGCAAAAAGAACCAAAACTTCCCAGGCCTTGCTTTTTTTCTTAAAAGCACGTTAAAAAGGAAGATTTGCTTGTATTTTTTATTTTTGCACATATTGTTAGGGGTCAGCCATTTTTAATGATCTCGGATGACCACACCAGCCTTTGGAGCATTCTCTGTGCTTCTGACTTTCCTTGTGGTGTGTCCATGTTCATTATAATCTCAAAGGAGAAAAAAAAAAACCTTGTAAAAAAAGCAAAAACAACAACGAAATGCAGTCTTATTCTGAGCATTCCAGTAAATGTTTTCGGGTATGTACTTAGCTGTACTATAAGTAGTTGGTTTGTATGACATGGTTAAAAAGGTCAAAGATTAAAAAAAAAAAAAAAGGTCAAAGATAAAGGTTTCTTCTTCCTTTTTTCTGGTCTATGAAGTTGCTGTTTATTATAATTATTTGGCTTGCTTGACGTATGTATGAAACAATGCTAACAATAAACTGGAATTTTATTTTGCTGAGTTCTTAAAAAAAAAAAAAGATGCACAGGGAATCCAGGGCGGATGATCCCTTCAGAACCAGTGGTGTGAGTGGCGATACTGGGAGGGTGGAGGAATGGTGGCTTGGAAAGGGGGAACGGAGGAGCCCTGATGGTGCAGTGGTTGCGAGTTGGGCTGTAATCCGCATGGTCAGCAGTTCAAAACCACCAGCAGCTCCTCAGGAGGAAAGGGGGAACCGATTACAAGGATCTACGTATAACTTCTTCCCTGGGTGATGGACAACAGAAAAGTGGGTGAAGGGAGATGTTGGACAGTACAAGATAGGACAAAATAATAATTTGTAAATTATCAAGGGCTCATGAGGGAGGAGGAGCGGGTGAGGGAGGGGAAAAAATGAGGAGCTGATGCCAGCGGCTTGGGTGAAGAGTGGATGTTTTGAGAATGATGAGGGCAATGAATGTACACATATGCTTTACACAATTGATGTATGATGAGTTCTATAAGCCCCTAATAAAATGATAAAAAAATAAGATGTACAATCAAAGCAGATTTTTTTTTTTAACATTTTATTAGGGGCTCATACAACTGTTATCCCAATCCATACACACATCAATTGTGTAAAGCGCATTTGTACAAGTTTCTCAAAAAAGCAGAAAATTTTATAAGAGCTTAATTCAGAGCACTTAGTTTGCAGAAGGCAACTGAAAGCCCAAAATCCATTTGGAGAGTCCCCATGTAGACTAAGCCTCTGAAGAATCCCCTCTCACTATTGACCAGGGATGTGAATCGCCTTGCCCTCAGATTGCATTAGAAAGTGAACTAATGTAGATCTTTCAAAACCCCTCCAC